ATACCGGCCCCCCCCCCCCCCCCCCCGCGAATGTCGTGCTACACTACGGGCTCGTAGAACGCAAAAATGTTCTCCGCCGCCTCTTCGTTGATATCCTTGTTATTAGCATACTTTGTCTATATAACAACTTACAGAGTCTTCTTCCACCCGTTACGCAACGTTCCTGGTCCCTTCTTCGCACGCTTCAGTAAACTATGGCTCGTATGGCACGTCCGAAAAGGACAATCACACGTCCACTTCCCCAAGCTACACGCGCATTATGGACCGATTGTGCACATAGCACCCGACCAAGTCCTAGTGTGTGACGAAAACGCCATCAAAACCGTCTATGGAGCAGCGACGTCGTTCACGAAAGGAGATTGGTACCGCATAGCTGGCGCACCTGACAAGGGCCGGAAACCTGCTGAGGACATTCTCGATCTGCTGACGGAAACGAACATGGAGAAGTATCGCAGGCAAAGAAGAGCCATTGGGCCGGCCTATAGCATTGCGGGGTTAGAAAAGCATGAGGGATTACTTGATGCCTACATCGATCAGTTCGTTGGCAGGCTGAAAGAGTTTGGAGGAAAAGAGGTAGATCTTGCGGAATGGACTCATATATTCGCCTTGGAGTCTATGAGCCAGTTCACTCTTGGCAAGAGACCAGGATACACGGAGAAGGGCAGTGACGAAGGGAATGGAGATGCCAGCGATGCGTTATGGCAATGCTTCACTGTGATTGGCATCTTCCCAGGGTTCGTAAAGCTGATGCATGCGATTCCCAAAGTCGGCATGTTGCTGGTCCTACCCGCGTCGCTACTTTTGGGTGTCAGACTACCGAAGGTTTGGCCCGTCTTCAGCTTCTCTGCTCCGACCATCATGCAGAGGCTGAAAGCACTGGAAAGCACGAGAGATGTTAAGTTCCCTGGTGACCGTCCAGGTCTCTTCCATGACCAAGGGACAGATACGGAGACTATGGAGCAACACGTGGATGGCATTGAAGAGACGGATATGCTTGCTACTTTGATGCGCCTCCATCATGACAAAGAAGCGCGTTTCCCTCCTTCCTGGGTTCTTTCAATCGCACTTACCAACTTCGGTGCCGGACACGACACACTCATGTTTACACTCTCCTCGGTCATCTACCATACGTACAAATCGCCAGCCATTCTCGCCCGCCTACGCAAGGATATGGAAAGTCAAGGCATCTCAAAGAATACCAAATATTCCGAAATGATCAAGAAGGTACCATTGTTCCTCGCCATTATGAAAGAAAGCATGAGGATCTGGCCTACGCTCGGATGGTACATCCCTCACCTCGTGCCCGCTTCCGGGGCTACACTATGCGATACCTACCTTCCGCCTGGTACTACAGTCGGGACTAATCTCTGGGCTTCACACTTTGATCATGAGGTCTTTGCAAATCCAAATAAGTTTGAACCAGATAGATGGCTTCCTGGTGGTAGCGAGGACAAAATGAAGGAGATTGGCAGAATGGACAGTATGTGGATGGGATTCGGGGGTGGAGGTAGAAGCTGCCCTGGACAGCATCTCGCGAGGTTCTTCGTTGTCAAGACATTGGCTCGTTTGGTTATGGAATGCGATTTTGAGGTGACGGGAGAGCCGGAGATTGGCGGTTGGTTTCAGTGCACGATGAAGGGCGTTGGCATGATTGTCAAAGAGAATAAGATGTGATGATAGCAGTTTTATTGGCGGCTACTTCAAACTGGCGGACAAGCGGATGGGTCATCCAGAATTAGGGTCGAGGGCCTTGCAATGCCGTAAAGCAAGGAGTACACAATAGGAAGAAAGAAACAAAAATAGGAACCATGAGGCAATGTAGTCGTCTAACCTCGATTCTTCCCAACAACATCCTCAGCCAGATGCCACACCCGAGCGAGCACATCCTCCGCCACCTTGCTTTCTAGCCAAGAGCGCGCCTTTTGAACAACCAATTCCCAAGTCTCCTCCTCATCTTGCATCTTCTTCTCCAGAAACAGGACAACGATCGCAGTAGCTAGAAGCTGCTCGGAGTCTGGCTCGTTGATTTGAGCGTTAGATGACCTAGCGGCGTCGCGGTCGAGCTTCATCTCATCAAACGGAAGCTTATCGATGGCTTCCCATGACCCTCCAAAGGACTGCCGTGCGATGAGGCGCTGGAGGAGGGTGCCGGTCTCTTCCTGTACTTTCTGCCTTTGTGGTGGAGAGAAGGAGGGACCCATGGCCGACCGACTCGACCGTTTCGACGAACCAAACCGACCCCTTGATTCTGATACTTGCGCGGGAGATAACGTGCGCAGCGCTGGCGGTTGGCCAGGATGAGCCATGGGTGCTGCACTGGCTTTCTCGAAACATCCAAAGCCCATGTCTTCGTCTGAGCCGGCGTCATCCATTAGTGTAGTGCCAGCAGGTATCTTTCTAGCTCGGAAGTGCCCGCCTTGTCCGCCTCCGCCGCCTCGCCCGCCTCGCCCGCCGCCAGTACGGCCAAAGGGACCGCCGCCGTAGCCTCCACGGAACGTAGCGAAGGACCCAGACCTCGCCGACGCGGATGCAGGTCCACTGCCAAATCGTGTATCGCCACCATACGAAGTGGTAACCGGTGATCTGCATGCTTGGCTATATTCTAGGACCTCCCAGTCATCGTCATCCGCTAGATCACTCCGTTTGATTGTCGATTCCAGAGCTTTTTGGCGTTTCTCGGCGATTTCGGTCTCGTTGGACTCTACGGCTACAAATGAACAGTACTTGCCGCCGACCTGAAACTCCACTCCAAGACGAACAGCCTCGCGTCTCTGAAGCAACAGATACTGAGAGCTATAGTTTTTCCTGAGCAGGACGTCAGTATCTCCAACGGTAGCCTCGGATAGCCATCCATGACCCTCTTCGAGCTCCTGTGTTGCTCTACGGGCAGCAAGCTGATGAATCATCTCGTCGGCCTCTTTGCGCGCTTCGACCGGAATTTCGAGCTCCAACGGGCCTTGGGGTGAGGTGCCCTTGAGAACAACACTCTTTGGTTGCAAATGTGATGACTCTGGAGACATGAGGAGATAGACACAGGTGCGATTGAACGGGAAGAGCGCTGGTATCTCGTGAGGTGTCTGCAAAAGCGTGGGGCGCTTTAGCTCCGGTAGACCCGCGAAGATGTCCTTCGACTCGCCGTCCTTTGGATGCTCTTCCACCACGTCCGTATTATAGAGCGAGATGGGCTTCGCGTCGGCGTCTTGGGCTTTCGTTTGCTCCTCGTCGTTATCGTTATCCAGGTGAAGGTTAATACGAAGGTTGTCGGCCACAGACTCGACGCTATCATCTTCGTATTTGACTTCGAGACGGTAGTCCTGGATATGAGGGGTGAGTGCACCCTTCAGCATACGAACAATCTTGCTGTCAAGCTTTTCGTTATCTGCAACCATCTGAGCGAAGCCTCTTCCGGCTCTCGCGACGCCTTCAATGAGCGCACTAGACACACCTCCACCTATACCGATGGGGAAAACACGGACGTTGCCATTCTTCGTGTTCTTGGAGATGTAATCGAACAGCTGGTCTTGAGCCCAAATGTCGCCATCGGTAAGTAGCATGAGCTCGGTAGGAAGTTCGGTGTTACGAGCTTCGAAACAGGCCTTGACCGCATAGAGTGTCTCAGTCCCGCCAAAATCGGCCCCGAACGCTTCTACATGTCGAATAGCCTCCTCGAGTGTATCTTGGCCATACAACTGACTCTGTTTCCAAAGAAACGAGTGGCTGCTGCCGAATGAGCAGATGTTGAACATGCAGCCGATAGGGATCGACTTCAGGAAGACTTTGAGTGCCGACACCAGCGTGGGGATCTGATCACCCATGCTACCCGATCGATCCGCGATGAATATGATCTCGGGCTTTTGCGACTTGAGATTGAACTTTGGTACTAGCGTGGTCATCAATGCTCGCTGGTTGGGGAGCGTCGGGTGTGTCTCTAGGATCGCCTGAGGTACGCCGACGTCTTTTGCAACCACCTGTAAAACGAAGTCTTTGTCTAGGCCTGTGGTACCTAGGGAAAGCGTTGCTGAACCTTGCGAGAGCAAGGCGTCCTCATCGATGGTACTTGTTGAGAGCGACCCAAGCGTCACTTCGATGGGATGTGATGGCGAGATGACCTTCTTGATAGGAATACCGTCTGCCATCTTGACATCCACGGTAATGGAGATGCCCTTCGAATCAATCTCGGCTGATGTCTCTTGGAGCTTTCCGGGATAGGATCCATAACGGGGCGAGATGGAAGCAGGTATGGTAAGACGAATTCCATCGACTTCGGCATCGTGCTTGAGCTCTTGGATGTATTTGATGGACACATACACAGATGCGCCTCCTGGAATGTTGCTGATAGCAGTTGAGAAGACATCCGCCGCCTCATCTAGTTGTTCAAGCAGCGCTGCGGCCTCGCCTCTCTCCTTGGCCTTTTCGTAGGTCTTCTTGGCTTCGTTCTTCTCCTTGACTAGGCCGTAGATAGTACGCTCGCCGATCTGGCAGAAGAACTCGACAACGCTGACGCCATCGAACAGCGGAAAGGCATATCGGATCTCATCCAATGACTCGTTGGTCCGGTTCACGAAGGTCTGCATCAAGGTTGTGCGGGCGGCCGTGGAGATAATCGTCGTGTGGGCGTCGCCCTTGATCTGGGGGAGGTATGTTCGCTCCCGCGTTCCGGGATGGGAGATGTAACAACCGCACACGTGGCGCATCATTGCTGTTCTTGTTCTTGGTTTGATGAGTTGAAAGGTAAATTTGTTGGGGTATCTCAAGAAACAGCGCGCACGCTCCTGATATACTTGACCGGTCGGCTGCTGCCTGTTACAACCTTGGGTGGGGAAGTTCCTACCGCTGAAGTATGATAGGTCTCCAATGGTCGTGCCAAACTTCGAGCTCATGAGTCACAAACTGCGGGGGTCGTACCGTCGAAAGAGTCCGGATTATGGTGTTGAGAGCCCCGTAACTCGTTTGAAGCTGTTCCCATTGACGAGCCCTTCTCTTTTGGTAAGTACGTTACAGATAGTTCTTGTTTTGTTCGACCATTCGATATTTTCAAAGCTCGCAGAATGCGTCGCATCCCACAACCTGACAGCTACATGCCGCGTAACATCGTTGAGTTGTTAGTTTGTGCTGCGTTGTAGCCTCCACGGCTACCTGAACTAGGTAGTCAGGCATCCTAGATTCTGGGGGCGGCCCGGCGCAACCCTCAAGCAACGCGAGAGATGGCTGGAACAATGACTACTACATAGCGCGCGAAGATGAACACGGCCGCATTTTGTGATGTCGCGCGTGTAGATTGACGGAGGAGAAAGACGCCGAAGTGTCGCGTCGCCCGATTTCTCAGACACCAACTGTGTCATGACGTCAGGCATCATCGCACACTTTTGAAACCTCGCGTCTGGCCGCAATGATATATACGTCGCTCATGAATTTCCTGGTGATATCCTTCCAGCAACAATACCTCGCCAGCATAAACACGTAAGATGGAAATCCCTGGGTACGACGCGCTGGTGTATTACGCCACACCACCCAACAGCTACATCGGCACCACCATCTTCCTCTCCTACATCGTCGCAGCACTTTACGCGACCATTAAGATCAGCTACTCGCTCTACTCTCAGTACTCGGCCATATTCAACACTTCTAGCCCGTCAAAAAATGAGAAGCTCAATGCAGCAAAAGCGGCGCGAGCGCGCCACATCAAGATCTACGCGTTCCTCGCTTCGATCAGCTTCGCGATGTTGTCCTACCACATGCTCATGTTCCTGATCACGCACTATCTGGAATGGAGCGGAGATAAAAGCCGGAGCTTTAGTAATGTCAGTGCCGATCAGGTGAAGAGATGGATGCTGGAGTCGACTTTATTCCAAGATTTCGCGCAGGATCTGGTTAAAGATGCGCCGAACGCGGTGTGGACGCAGGCCGCGATTCTGGCGACGTGGTTTTGGAAAATCTATATGGCGCAGAAGGGTAAGTGATGTTTGATACACACGCGTGAGAGGGTATTAACGTATATATAGCGAGAACGCGCAGATACGACACGTCGATGGTGCGCACGTACATCTTGCTCGGCCAGATCCTACCCATTTCCTTTACAGTCTCGCTATTCCTGATCCAACTCCATCTTTCTTCACCGGATATTGCAGTCGCAACAGGAGCACCCAAACCCGATGTCACGACCAAACGTCGCAAGCCGATAGCAACGTTGCAAATCCCGAACATTCTTCTCAACGCCGCTCTACTCGCACTTCCAGCCCTACGATCCAACTCAGTCTTCAGCGGTCTACTTCTTGTTACTCGCGCCGTGTTGTTGCTTCCTCACTTTTCGGCTATGAGCTTGAGGGATGCAGATGTTGTTAAATGTATCACCGTGTCTGGTGGATTTGCGGTTGCAAATGCGGCGATGATGAGGAAGGACCTCACTCCTGGCAGCGTCGTGGGAGCATTAGTAAATGGCGGATACGCAGTGAAAGCTCTGGGATGGGATGCAGTATTGGGTCTAATAGTGTATGTTGTGTTGGGGTGGGGCGGAGGGGTCTGAATACACGACCGGTTGCCTTAAAGCTATTGATCAAGTGCCGCATTCATGCTAAAGAAATACCTGATATAGGCAAAGCCCTACACAGGTTTGTAGACTACATCAAGATTTAAAACATGCAAAGTAGGTGAGCTGAAGCTGATGTAGGCTCTACGGTGTTCAATTCCTTCCTACTTTGACGCGGAAAGGTGAATCATAGGTTCCCTGCTGCATTATGCGGTGCCATGTTCAACTTTGCTTGGCGCATCGTTACCCCTTCCTTTCCTGTACCAACCCACTCTCGCACCTTCTGATGCCAAATGCTGAACCAATGGTGCTGTAGCTTCCTCCAGAAGCGGGAGAACGTCATCGTATATGAAGTGGACGATGAATCCCACCTTCATTCCCTTGAGGTGTTTGAGATGACGAAGGTACCACAAGGGTTCAAGCTGCTTGGCGTATTGAGCTTGAGTCTTGGTGCCACAGTCGAATTTAAGCTCGATTTGGATGCGGCGTATATGCTCCTTCGGGTCGCAACTAGTGATGAGGACGTCGTAGTTCAGTGTAGACTTGAGCTCGTGCATCACTGCCACCCGAAGCAGTTTGGTGCGGTATAAAGTCTCTGCTAACTCGATTCGGTAGGTCTCGTCGACGTGTTCGTACACTGCGAAATGTGGAATCTCAACGCCTTTGATGGTAAATCTCCTGATACCGAGTTGCGTGGGGTTGCTGGTAAACTCTGCAAGATTCCAGGCCGTGGGATTATCGACCATGAGCACCTGATGCTGACGGTTGCTATCACGGCTCTCGAGGATGTACGTGTAGATGATATCGCGGAGTTCCCGAGGTAACTGGTGCACCATCTTCGAGGTGAGCTCCGAGCACCAGCCTGGGCTGGCGTCGTCACATACAAGTCTCAAGAACCTGTTGTATGTTAGTTCTCTTCCTTATGGATGTATTGACTTGTATCTTACGACTGGTAGTGGACTCCTTTTGGGTACATTCGACGTTCCACATCGTTGCGCGACTCGGTGGCTGGCATCTTTGCTTCTGGAGCTTTTGTACTAGTTCACGTCGTTAGGTCCAAATTCATGATGATACCAGCCGCTACAGTTTCTCCAAAACGGAGAAAATGTATGCATGACTGGGATCATCATCGGCGTTGCGCCGTGGAGTCGATATGCTGAGCATACATTTTGTGCTTGTCGAGTAGAAGTGTTCTGCTTGTTTAGTAGGCTCAATCTCCTTCGTCACGGCAATTGTCAGTAGTCAGAGGTTCTGGTTTGCGGCAAAGGTGGACAAAAGCTCAACGACCGTTTGTGTGACAAAAGTCGTCAAGGGGGGTCAGTGCGTACCGAGCTGGCAGCTGTTTGCATCGTCTAGGCAACTAAGTCTCGAGTCACGTGTCTCTTCCGCGACAACTGTCCAGAGCGATTCGGAGGAGGAGAGTGGGTGCCGTTTGTTGAGCACCATATAGAGCGGTCAACGTAATGGCTCAGACCGCCTTGTTGAGACGGAGTACTGCGCGACATATGTTTAACCACTTGAGGTAACTCTGCTCTTGGATAACAGACATTGCACGTATAGAGCGCTCCAATTCGTTACAATACTTCCTATCATGCGAGCAGTGACTTGAAAGCCTCGCTAATAGCCTTGAAGCCGTCAGGTTGTGACAGCGCCCAGTCACGCACCTTGTCAACACCCTCCAGATCCGACCACATATGATCACGCGAAGTAGTCCCATTCAGCACCACAACTCCCTGATCCATGACGAGGGCGTAAAGCGCGACTGGCAGACCGACATCTGCCGCCTGAGCCAACGCAGCGACCGGCTCGGATCTTATAAGAGAAGGATTGCCGGTTAGAGTCCAGAACGACTGATACGTAATGTTGTGTTCACGGCAAAACGCGCGTAACGGTACATCATACCGCGTCTGAGGGTAGAAGCGATTCTGAACGACCGACGGCTTTATTGTGGCGTTCTCGTGGATGGCTTGGAGAATTGGGAGTGTGACGTTCGAGATACCGAGGGATCGAATCTTGTCGGGCACATACGATTCCAGTAGCTTCCAGGCTTGTAGTGTTTGGTCAATAGTAGGAAGAGGAGAGTGCAGAAGTAGACAGTCAATGTATGAGGCATTTTCTGAGTCGTCATATCGCAGATTCTTCAGCGATGATGCGACGGATGTGTGTATTTGGGTGTCCAATGGTGACTCAGGATCGTAGGGCATGTTATTCAGATCTTGGCCGGCAGGCGTGGTATACTTTGTTTGTAACTGTGACGCATAAGCATCAACTACAATCGGTCTCCGTTGAACCTACATATAGCTGTTTGCGTTCAATTGTACCCTCAGCAAACGCCTCACGAAGCGCTTCACCGACCAAAGGTTCCTGGTAATGCCGTGGTTGTGCAGCTGTGTCGACGCGACGAAAGCCCTGGGCTAGAGCTTCCTTGACTAGCCTCTTTTTTGATCTTTCTTCCAAGCAGTACCGTAGATGAACGCATGCTTATCATCGTAAAGACGTGATGGTTCTTGGTTCGTCGAAGCAGATGCCATATTGCGCGTGGTCGACGATGGATGTATACGGCAGGGCTTCACGTAAGACGCGGAGAAAGGAGCAGTAAATTTACAAACAGATGATGGAGTCAGACGTCTGGAACTCATATCGCAAGCCCAACAAAAGATAGATGTGGTTAGCTCATACATCCACATCGGAAGTGACGATGCAAGGTACCACGACGCTGACTAAGCCAACGGTGACGCTTGCTATCTGACATGAGCCCCACCAATGTTCCGATCGGACCTCCATCATCCCGACCAGAAAGTGCTCGAAGTACCACGCTCAACACTCCCTCTCTTCCATATACTCACTTCCTGACCTCTATACTCCAATTCCAACCTAGATCGAACTTACAAATACAACAAACACCATGGTCCGACCAGACAAACCCCGCGACCCCATCGCCGGCCCCGAAACACCACAACCGCCCTTCCCCATAAAGCTCCGAGGTCCCGTAGTAAAAGGCTTCGGACGCGGAAGCAAAGAAGTACAAAGCCCGCAACCCTCCCAAACATCACCCCAAGCTAACGTCACCAGCTAGGCATCCCCACCGCCAACATCCCGCTCTCCGGCCTAAGCATAGGCGGCCACGACGAACTCGAATCCGGCATCTACTACGGCTGGTGCACCCTCGACACAACCACAATTGCCCAGTCCACAACCGCCTCCAGCGTCCCCAGCGCCACAGACGATACATCCGTCCCCTCCCAATCCTCATCCCACGCCGTCCTCGACCTCGAATACTCCTCAGAAACGCCCACGCCCTCCACAATCTACCCCACCGTCCTCTCCATCGGCTACAACCCGTACTACAAGAACAGCCAGCGCAGTATCGAAATCCACATCTTACACAGCTTCGAGAAGGACTTTTATGGCGCGCAGCTTAGTCTGATGATATTGGGGTTTATACGGCCGGAGTATGATTATGTGAGTAAGGAGGCGTTGGTGGAGGATATTAGGGAGGATATAAGGGTTGCGCAGAGGAGTTTGGCGAGGGAGGGGTATGAGGTTTGGAAGAGGGATGAGTGGTTGAAGGGTGGGGAGGATGTCAAGGTGAATTGGAATCAGGAGGGGCAGAAGGATGGGGTGGGGATTGCGCAGATGATTAATTAGGTGGTGATGGAGGGGGATGGAGAGAGGAGAAGGTCTCACGACGCGCATAACGAGGGATGTCATGAATGAACGGAACATTATTATCATATTGTTGTTCTAGCCGTGGGAAGCATTGGTATCGCGCCTTTGGTGGCAGCTCGTCTACTCCGTTTACGCCCTAATGTACGCCCTCGAACACCTGGAACAAATAACAAGAAGTAGCATACCAAGCACTACCTTCCATGATGCGCACGTCTCGTGAGACGACTCTGGTATCCATGCATATGCGCCAATATTCCAAGCAAACCAAAAACCATAAAAGCACTTTTTACTGCCGCCATGACATGATCGTAGAAACTCGAAGTCCATCATCCGTATTCAGGCAATCAGTCGTTGGGAATGCAACAAGAGCTGCGTTTTTGTTCATACTTATCCCACTCACTGTAGGCCTTTGTCAAGAACAGGCATGACCTAAACCTCATTAGCGCTTGACTCATCCATAACTTCAAGGTCCAACTTACACTCATACAAACAAGCACAGGCATATCAAACATATCGCGCTTGATATGCCACCAGATCATGCAATCAACCATACCATTCTTCGCGCCGAGCCGTTGCATGGCACTCTCGCCCTCCACCTTGACAAGCGGATCGACCTTGACATCAGCACCGGCATTCGCATTCTTCATTTCCTGGATGCGATCCATGTCTGCCTTGGTCTGGTATCTGAGCATGTTGACGCGTTGAGAAGCGTAGCCGTGGGGGTCCTGGTAGCACAGTTCGGAGAAGTGCTGGAGGAACTCGAGGGCGGATTTGGGATCCATGAGCTCGATGATGTTGACGCTTGGTGTGGTCTCGGAGTCTTGCGCGGTGAGATTGGGTGTGGTGTTTTGGGTTGAGCCCGTGTCGCTTTCGCTTGTGTCGCGGTTCGTGCCCGTGTTGACGTTGAGATTCGGCTCGTGGCCGAGGAGAACTTGATCTTTCCAGCCCGTGAGAATGGTAAACTCCTTGTTGATACCGACAATCTCGCCTGAGCGACGACAGATTAAGAATGGTGTACCGACTTCCGCAAAGTGATCTTGCAGTGTCATGACCTGACGCTGGAGACCCATTTCTTGATGGATCAAGTCGTCTCTGTTCAGCTCCTCCCGCACTTGTAGCAATACAGGTCGGTAGTTTTGAAGATACTGTTGTGCCTTAGCCACCCAAGGCCTTGAGTAGTTCTTGTCGATCAGCTGATAAAGCCTGTGATAGCCCTTGACGTAATCGTATGGCTTGGTAACCCCTTGGTATATGCTCTTGGTGTCCCGTTGTCGCTTGCGCACGCCATTAGAGTGTATCGGCTGGAGTGCCGTGGTCGAAGGTCTGTTTTCATGTTGTGATCGACTAACAGCTGGCGAACGCTGCGCATGCGTTCGGTTTGTGTTGGCGAAAAACGCTGCGGTCGCCAGTGGGTTGTCACCCTCGAAGGTAGACGCATCCGTAGAGGCTGGACTTGCTGTATGGCTAGCAGGCCCTTGGCCGATGACGAATGCGTGAGGACCGCTGAGGCTGTCGTTTCGAAGACTATGGTGATCGTGGCCAGCGGTGTTTGGCGTGTGAACGTGCATGCTTCCTTGCCGCGAATGAGCGTCTTGCCATTCGCCTGCTGGGAGTCCGTTCGCATTGTATGCCATAGCGGTTGCCGCGTTGTTCTGGTCCGCGTAAGTTGAGGGCATCTGTGCATTGTACATGTTCACAGCGCCGTTCATGTTCATCATTGCGTTATCGTGAGGTGTGTCCACTGCGCCTGATGACATATGACCAAGCATCCCAAATTCCAGCGCTCCGTAGTGGTTTCCGAAATTGAGGCTCGAGATGTCGAAATTGAACAATGCGGGGTCACTCGGGTCGAACAAAGGTCCAAACTGCTGCAATTGGCCCTGCTGATTTTGAGACATGGGGTTTGGTGCGTTTTGTACTGGGCCGTGGTGTGTCTGGTTGAACGGAGGTGATATTGGCGACTGCTGATTGCTGAAGGCGTGACCGTCTTGAGCCACAGGCATTTGTCCTGGTATCGAATTGGGCGGGTAGAATGCCGCTGGCTGGGCTTGATTGTACATGTTGCTCTGTGGAGAGACCGAGACCGGTTGTGTGTCGTGACTCGGTATCGGTGTTGGGCGGTTGCCGTTCATGTACGGGTAGTGGCCGCCCACGCCAGGCATGAGCGCTCCATCTGGCGCATCGTGGAGATACTTGGCCTTTTTGCGCACGCCGTCCATGCAATGATCTTGGAGACCGCGCTTGATGCAGCGATTGCATGGTCTCTCGTCGCCTAGAAGGTGTCAGTCCCGCCATTGAATGCAATGACTCACAATCAATACTCACCACATGTTAAATGGGCTCGCTGGCAGGCAAAGCACGCTCTCCGCGCCTTCTTCCTCCGCGGTCTTAGAGGGTCCTTTGCATTGGGCTTTCCATTGGTAGGCTTTTGGCTGGAGTCGCCGTCGCCAGACTGGCGGTCTGTAGTCTGTTCAGCAGCCATGTCGTCGTCCAAGTCGCTCCTGTACTCGGGCGAAGGAGAGGCATCTTGGGCGTCTGGGGTGGTCATGATATCCCCTCTACTGGCGCAGGCACTCGGCCAAGCACGGACGGTCGCTGCGGTGGACGGAGGCGCTGGGGAGAGAGCCTAGTGCTGCGTGTAGCCGTCAATGGTGATCTTGGGGTGTTCCCAGCAAAACGGTTCAGCCAATGTGTCTGGGGTGCACGGCTTGAGGCGTTCCAGCTGCGTGTTTTAGAGTGCGATCACGCGTGCGCTGGCTGCTTGAACGGGCGCTGCCGTGGCACTCTGACAGGTCCAATGACGAGCTATGCAGGGGGCCCAGAGAGTGAAGGGCTCTCAATCCGGCGGACAGGTATGGGACAGTGCTATTGTGGTACGGGGCCGGGGTCCATGTAATCGAGGGAGCATTCCAGGAGCACACAGAACCATGTTTGATAGCGAGATGCTACCGAGACGCGCTGCCCATGCTGCTGGGAGTCGAGTGTGGTTCTACAAGCGGTGCCGGGGTTCGTTCAGTGAGCCCGCGGGAGGTGAGAGCAGCAGCGTGGCAGTCACGGGTGCGGCGTCGCGTCGAGCGCGGAAGGCGCGACACGATAGGGCAGTGGGGTGATACAGCGCGTGCAGTCACGGTCAGCGCTGGGGCAGGTGCGATGGGCGATAGCGATGTCGATGGCGATGGGCGATGGGAGATGATCGTCTGGGGAGGCCGGCTACGAGTCGCGACGGAGCGCGCGGTCGAGGCGATGGAGGCGCTGCTGGGCTTGACGAGCGGCCAGGGCACTTGCAGCGCTGTGTGCAGTTGAGAGTGGGCTCGCGGCGTCGGGCGCTGGTCGTGTGCGGTATATTGGAGCTCGCTGCAAGATGCGCGCAGATGCGATTCCCCGCAATTGGCTGTTCGAGGTTTGCTGGAAGGTGCAGCCCACGCAGCTGCCTCGGTCCCTGTCGACCGGTAAGCCGCTTGCTTGGCCGGCCGCTAGCCCGCAGTCACGCACTTCTGCTTCACTATTTGACGTCGCTAGCCCTTCAGCCACTCTGGGGCTGCTGTCTGCCACATGATCGTCGTCAATACATAGGTGGATCGCGGTCAGTCCATCTTTGCAGATTGGGCACCCTGCTGCAGACGGCCCTGCCCAGTCACTCGCAATTCCCACCGCGACACCTCATGCCACACAGCGCATCCCCAAAAAGCAAGCAGCCGGCATGCCCAAAGTGCCTCAAACTCGGCTATGAGGCATGCATGCAGTGTGGGATGCGAGGCCTTGGCGTTGGTCCTGACTGGCGTATCCCCAGCCTATGGGCGCGCTCGTATCACCAACTATCATCACTCGCTACGCTTCGCGAGCGCTGTGTGCCCTCACTGTCTCCCTCACCGTGTCTCTGGCCTGCCGACCACGTTTCCTCGCACGCCGGTGCACCGCCCCCGGCAACGGTACCATCCGCAGCCGCTTTCGTCTCTTGTGCATCCGTTGTCCCTCGAGCTGGCGTGGCCGCCCTCGTGGCGCTCATGTTCCGTCGCACAAGGGCCCGGCCATCCTGCTTCATGTGGTCTCACGTGTGGGCGCAAATTCCTTGATTCAATAAAATTCTTTCGCATCAAACTGCCGTGTCACTCGCTATTATTAGTCCTCTTCCAGTCAAGTCTGCCACATGCCCTCGCGTCGCTTCCATGCCCACTATGCTGATGCATATCGACTGCCTCCCCTGAGCCGCTTGCCATATCGAAAGAACAAGATTGGAAATCTGCAACAATATACGTTAGTGGTTCCCACGACCATTCTCTTGGGTCTCTTACGGTGCCATGGCCAGCGCAAGGAACGCAAGTAGAGTAGTTGCCCACTGGTAGCCGAGATCTTTTCCAAATCAGTGACCGCTCTTTCATCATGGTGTGCCGTCCTAGGGACTTACTGTTGTACATCTGAACACCAAATAGTCTATGTCGTTAATTAGTAATGAAGTCTGCCCCAACGTTGGTGCTAGCTTACGGGAAAGCCGCAGCAAAGTACGACCGCGCGAAGCTGTTGGCCGCGAGAGCCGATGCAGCGTAGACAGGGTACTGTTCGGCGAGGTCACTATCTCTGTACCCAAGAGCCTGGTCCGACTTCGGTGCGTGGTGGGACTTACAGCTTCCACCAAGAATGTAAAGACCCCTGAATAGACCCAGATGACACTACGTCACGGAATACGATCAGTGAGCTGTTCATCGACGACACCTGAAGCGTCTGAAAGAAGAAAACCTACCCAAGGCCAAATACTGCTGAAAAGATAATTGGGACTGCAGTGTCATGGTCAGTTATTATTGCGACTGGACAATATGCACGATGATGTCGTACCTATCCAGTGAACCTGCGGAAGCCGGGATGTTAGCCATGGAATCTTCCATGCCAGTAGAATTCTAAACTTACTGAGGAGTATGTCGTCCACCCAAACCCTGCATACGTGTGATTAGAAGCTTGTTCGAGGCGAGGCCATGCAGCGGCTTACCAAAGAGTGCGATAGGGACGACCCAGGCCCCAACAATAGTCGAAGGGAGCCGAAACTCAGGTTCCGAACCTCCGGGCTCGCCTCCTTGCTCCTCGCGTTGCCGCACGAGCCTGCCGTATATCCTTCTCCAGAGAGGGTCCGTGGAGACACCCGCGAGCATGCCGACCAACAGGCCCAAGAATGCAAGTCCAACCTGCGAGATGCTGAAGCCATGGTTGTTGCCGAATACGAGAGGAAATGCGCCAAAGAAGAGGTACAGGATACCCAACAAGATTGCCGACAAGATGCAAAGACTCAAGCACTAGATCACAACAGTCAGTCCACCAATCACGGCCTCACTAAGCGCGGAGACCCACCATAGGCTCGAAGAAAAGAAGTTGAAACGGGCGGATGCATGACCACAGCACGGTTTTGGCGATAGATCTGTCCATCTTCTCAATGGGCGCTATCCACTCTGGGTTGCCGGTTTCTTTTCGCAGTCGAATCGCCTTTCGACGGAGCAAAACGGGGTGGTACGTCTCAGGCACGAAAAGAACGATTAGGCAAAGCTGCGAGGCTAGCATTAGTTCTGGTACACATGGTGTGCAGCACAACCTTACCTGAACTCCAGACCAGATGATGAGAACATAGAAACACCTGATTGCGTGTCAACACAAATCGCCGATTTCTCCGCAAGAGCTGATCGACGGCACGCTCGATACGAGTATCAGGGGTAGATGCTGCCAGCTCGGCCAACGCCATCGCAGCTGCAGGTGCAGTGTCGCAAGGTGGGGATAGTGGGCCTGGAATAAGCACTTACCATCTCCATGTAGTATTTTCCACGATGAAGCCTCCTATCAGAGGGCCAACCTCTGGCCCAACAAACGGGCTGGCTGTGTAGACCATCATAGGCGCAGACAGCTCCTACACTTACGTCAGATATAGACGGCTAGCGAGCATCGAATGTACTGACGTGTTTCCCGAACATGTCACCAACAGTCCCTCCAGCAACACTGAGGAAGGCTGAGCCAGCTAGGCCGTCCAAGAAGCGCGCAACCAACATCGTCTGGATGTTCTGTGCCACGGCGCATGGTATCATCCAGATGAGGAAGAATGTGAACGAGCAGATATAGATTGGCCTTCGACCGTAGAACTGGACCATGTTAGTCGATCACGGGTACGGCGAAGTGCCGTTAAATCCCGGCAGCTGTACGCACCTCCGAGAGTGGACTTAGAATCATCGGTCCTGCGCCGAGTCCCGCAACAAACATAGATAGACCAAGCGTGCACACTAGGCGCGAGGCCCCAAACTCAGGCTCCAGCTGACTATACGTCGACGTATATAGCGATGAGGTGCATGTCCTACATTTAGCAATCGTTAGTTTGTGCGCGTGCAACGGTTCGTATATGGAGTTGATGACGTACACGCATAGTGAACTACTGGCGCATATCAACACGATGAGCCATCTTCGTAGTTTGCCCATGCTCCGTGGATTCTCTGGGTCGGCGTCACCATCCCAGGTCACAAGGTACGGTTGCTCTGTTACAAGTCCGGGTCGGGAGTTGCTGGGGCCTTTGGCATTGGCTTCTGCGTCGAGGCATGTGTAGCCATCTCCTCCAGCTCTCGAGTGATGCGATCTGACTGTCTTCAGACTCCTTCCGTCTTGCGAACGTCTGCTCTGGCTGCATCCTCTTTCAGCTATTGCGTCATTCTGCTCCTTCGTTGGGGATTGCGTAGCTCCGCCGTGTCCAACATCTTTCTCTTCGTCGATGTCGGCAGCAGATACTCCTCTCTTCTCGTACTCGCTTGACGCGCTGTCTTCATGTTGTTCGCGTGCTGAGCCAAAGCTCGCTCTTTCCTTCGACTCCATTCTGATGAGTCTCGCCGTCGCTACGGGTGTTGGAATGAAACGCAAGGTCCGACGAGTACCAAAATCACCAACGGCACGCCAATCTTTCAGAAACTGCTCCACTCTAGAAACGACTAGTTGCCGCTCGGATATAACTCGCTAAGGTTCTCAAGAATCCCTGAAGACAAACCCTGGTTATGCGACGCGATGCAGGTCCAACAGGCGAAGGAATGAGGTGGAAAAACCGCGGCACGAAGGGATACTGTATACTAGAAGCAGACATCGCGCTTCTACTAAGCTTTCAAACCGCGCCGCGGCGATCGGCCCAAAGGCTCTGGAGCCACTCGTGCGCAGAGTGGGGTGGCGTCTTTCTGCCATAACGGCGCCAGTCTGTCTAGATTGCTGGGGTGCGTATGTGCGTCATCCGGCTAAGACATCTGCTAGGGTTCTGACATGAACATGTTGATCAGCATGCTGGTATGTAATGCGGATTTAACGCGCGAGTGCCGACGATGAGTCCCATGGCCTGGAGATACAACACCGTCGTCTTTCGTGAGCGGCCTTCCGACGGTACTTCCGACAGTGCTTCCGACGATGCGATTCATGTCTTCGCCCTTGAATTGCCGCGATCGGCGCAAGACCAGCCGATGCAAAAGACTAGCGGGCCGTAATTAGCAAAACCATCCGTTCGGAAAAGCATTTGCCCTGGTCCCTGGAAACTGCTATGTGGTCACGTCTTTCGACCTCACGTTGCCCATTTCAAACATTCGCGGAAGGTAACATACCGTATCTCCGTGTTGCATTCTGTTGCAGCCATCGATCGTGTTGGGGTTGTTGTGCAACTAGCTCGCAAGGGCGCACCTGCCCACCACGATTGCCACTAACTCCAATCCCCGAGACCACGAGGCATCTCGTTCTGGCTTTCAAAGCAGAACGCAACATATACGCTTTGTAACATTTTATCTGCTTATCTAGGTGTGGTGTTTTCAGTGTAGAGATGACATCAGATGTAAGCTTCTGACATACATATTCGGAATGCCGCAATAACGGCACCACGTGGGAAATGCACTAGGGGAGATGACGGGCGTTGGCAAGGAAAAAGAAAACATGAAGCCCTTCTTCCAGACGTTTCTAGGTAGCGCCTCGAGCGCGCAAATAATACCCGAGTACGCCGCCGATGGAATGGCTGATGTATGTCTCTCTGTATTTGTCGTGGATGCCGATGTGGTGGGAAAGGCGTTGCGCATTCGATACATGTGTAGTAGTCCGCCTCATTGATATCATGTAAGCCATCGAAGCTTGATCACTGATTCAATGCGCCCCATAGTGGCTCTTCTCATCAATCGGTCTCAGTACAGAATAGGTCTGCATTGAATGGAAAGCTGGAGATGACGAGTTGAGCGATGCGGCGGTGATGATTTGCTCGGGTTATTCGAATAGGAACTATGCGAATTAAAACTACATCCATACGTCATACTCATGATACACTGTCTCAAGGCTGGAGTTTTGAAGGGGATCTCGCGGTTTCTAGCTATACTTAAGAGGTTCAATGCTCGCAGCCCATGAGCTGGTTGTACATCCATGACATCAAGCAGATAGAGCAGTGTCTATTCATGCAAGTCTTGTTAGACGTTTCTCCTCATTATATTTCCTACTAACATGCATAACGTGCATTGAGTTTACCGACCGTGATTGTGATCATTCTTGTTCGATAGAATACTTGGTGCTCGTTCGAGTGATGCGCAGTCGAAATGTACACAGCGATGCACAATAGAAGACACTCCACAGCATGTAATCATACAAGCATAGTGTTAGCTAGACGATATCTCCAAAACGTTGCCTTCCACAAGAATGCGTGAAATCTAGAATGCGAATCATAGCTGGCAACTCATGCCTTTCCAAGCCATGCATCGTGACAATCAAACTCCACGATGCTGCCCTATTCCTGCCATACGACCATACTCCCCCTTCCCCATACCCCGAATCATGCCTTCATCGTGAACCACTCCTGCCACAAACCCTCAGTACCTTCTTCCCCAACGCGTGCCACTTGCCATCCGAACAGCCACCATGCCTCCCAAACGAGCAGCCGCCCTCAGTGCCATAGCAAGCGCATCTGAACACTGGCAAGAAGCCCGCCGTCTCATGGCCCCCTACAAAACCCCGTCCTCGCCCCCAACACCACCTTTTCTCCTTCATCCCACTTGCATTCGTTTTCGCCCTTTCCTTTCCTTTCCTTGCACAGTGCACCACGGTGACATGCTAACATGAGGGCTACTGAGGGTTATTGAGGGCTACTGAGGGATACCACCCGCTCCTTGGCCTTCGGGGTCCTTGGACCTTCGGGTACTCGGGCTTTCGGGGCCTGAAATAGGATATCTCCGCTACGATGCTCTTCCATAGCATACGTGGTCATCTGGGTCGGGAAGATCAAACAGCCCTTTGCCAGCGTGAGCCCAGAGTGTCTTCGGATGCATTGACGGTGTCTCTTCACTGTGTGACTCTGCTTGGGCAACATTTCTTGCATGTTTCAGATTAGTGCGAGAGCGCGAAATGGCAACTTTCTTCCTCCTCTTTGTGATGTTGTGATATGGTGACGTGAATACAACCCCTTGCCTTTGCCTTTGCCTTTGCCTTTGCCTTTGCCTTTGCCTTTGCCTTTGCATTTGCCTTTGCCTTTGCCTTTGCCTTTGCTGCTGATTCGGGGTCTGCAGATGTTGTGTGTTCGTGACTGACGATTCTGTTGGTTGGTTTATCGCTCCTGAAGGCAACGATGACGCATGCGGTACGTATGGCCGCCGCCGCCAAGGCGACCTCGGGATGCAACAAGAAGGTGAGCATAATGAATATGGATTGGATGCTAAGATTTCGGCTCGTAATCAGTCTTCAACAATGAGTATGACATAGCCCATTGGGACTGCGCAGTATGTAGATGTAAATGCTGTATATGGCGGACCATTTGACTGGGTCGTCGCTTGCGCCATCGCAATACCAATTGAAGGAGTGGATTGCAACCATGATAGAGTACCACGGTCCATATTACAAATACGATGCATTTGAGCGTTCATACCATGGTCGTACCGCCCCACACCCAGCGTTCAGGAATATAAAAAGCCCTTGCATCCCCGCCTTCACCTTTTCTCCATGCGCAAAACTGTTTTCCTATCAAATGGAGATATCCTATCATTCGATAGCAGAGTGTCGAAAGTCTCTTCCTGGGCACCTCTGTCAAACCCCCATATGCCTGAGCAGCCACAGCCACCAAGAAACACACTACTCAAAGCCCCTTTCTTACTTGGTTAGAATGCGTGGTTCTGGATAAGTGTCCTTGATGGACTCGAACTCAACAGGCCGACAGTTCATCGGAGGCGGTGATGATAACGACAGATGGACAGGAATATCTCTAAGGAGGGAATCCACACGTCCGAAACTGAAAATATCTGAGCCTCAAAACTAAAATGGTTGGGAAGTTGGGAGAGTGATGGGCGGGTGGGGTTCCATGGTGGGAGCGGCGAAGCTGGGGATGGGTGGGATTTGGGTTGCGGGTTGCTGCATACATGCTGTTGAATGTTGATAAATTAATATGGTATAATACAATGTATACCTGAACCTTAAAAAAGTTTTTTGAATAATGTTCCTGCAGAGTGCGATACGAAATGTAGTAGTCACTCACAAGAAGTGGCATAGCAAGGAAAACAGTTCATTTGATCCAATCTCGTTATGACCACCGCGTCCAGCGCGTATATCCTAGTAATAAGGACCCGGAGTAGGTTCCCAGTAATGGCTATCTAAACATTCTTCATGACCGCACGCCTCGTAGCCATGTGTCATGATCCGATTGAAGGTGCCGCGGCGCTGGAAGCAGTGTCTGCACAGCGCGTTCCTCTTCCAGTCGTCGCCATGGGGGTTCTTGTATATGGAGATGTCGTGCCGGAGTTCGTCGCTCGTGTCCATCAAGTGTAGTGGTCTTAGGTAGCTGGGGGTCTCAGGGGGTTCAGGGGACCCTGACGTATACCTTCGCGTGTCGTGTCGTTCAGGTGTTCCTGACCGAGGTATTGTAGGCGCCAGGGTTCGTTTTGGTGAGTCGCTCCGCAGCTTTTTGGTCTGATGTTGTCGCCGGGATGTCTCTTGGCTTCTCCCTCGCTTGCGTGCTTCGCAATGTCAGCGCCTGGGTATGGTCAAAAATTTGGATGTACGTACGACACGTGACCCAGGAACTCTGATCTGAAGGCACAGTTGAGTCCGTCAGCGCTGAGCTCGGAACCGTCGTCTCAGTTGAAGCTGAAGTCACTGCCGAAGTCGGAGGCTCAGCAGGTGAAGGCATGGACGATATATCAGAGTCGCAGAAGAGAAGTGGCGACTTGGAGGGGTCGATATCCTCCCCAGTGGCATCTGGCTGAGTTATGAAGCGCGAAAGTGGGATCTGTAGGCTCCTGAGTGTTGGTCGGGGCGGTCGGGGCGTATTCTTTGTAGGGCCATCTTGTGACCTGATTTCGTCGAGGAGCAGGCGTAGGAAGGATGTCGACGGCGCGGCACCGCTTGGGGACTTGGAGGTGGGCCGTAGGATGGGTGTAGGCATCTTGATGCTCACAGATTGTGATAGGCGATGCAGCTGGTAATGGAGCTAATGGTAGCGCAATAAGATTGGGACGGGACTGGATGATGTGAGGTGAGGGAGATGCATGGCGGAGGAATTGAAGTTCTTGAGTTGATGTCGTGCGTGGGGAAGGTGTCAAGGAAACAACAGAAGAGGCAGCTACGATGCCGTCACATGCGACTGCCCCGTACAGCGCTGGAGGCTTCCATTGGATGCACGTGTCAGCGAGAGAGAAACTACGTCGGGTCTAGACAGCAAACGGGTCATGATGAAGTGAGATTCGCTACGAGATGCCACATAGCTCTCACCTGATATGGTATACTACAAGCCTCGTCTATCATGCAGAGGCCGTTCCGTTGCGCCTGTTCATATCGTGCATTGGTCGTGTTGCTCATGTCTCGGACATCTCAGTGTCCTCAGCCTTGGCCAGGCCGTGCTCCTTTAGCAGAGCATCGATCTCGTCCGCTCCCCACAGGTGGTGGTAGATCTTGCCCTCCTTTGTCCTTCCTACTGTCGCAAATTCAACTATGCATTGTTAGTACTCTCCCGGAATAGTAGTGAGATGATGAACGTACTCTTCTCGCTGCTCAGCTTAGTCGAGTCCATGGTCTTGCTGAGCACCTTGACTGCAAGCCCGCACGCTTCCTTCAGATCGCACTCCTCCTTGTAGTCCTGCTTCAACAAGCTCTGCGCAGAGGCGTTGTTCGCGCCGACACTGGTCGCCTTCCAGCCGCCGTAGTTGCCACTGGGGTTACTCTGGTAGAGCTGGAACTGGCGCTGGGGGTCCCATCCTGCGTAGATGAATGACACACCGAACGGTCGGAGACCTCCGTGCTGCGTGTAACCCTGCTTGAGATCGCATAAGCGGCGGACAAGCTGCTCGCAGGGAATGTCTTCGTTGTAGGTGAGGAGGTAGCGTTGGGCGTTTTGGCGGGCGTAGTTGATGAGGATGTTGGCGTCGGCGGTCATTCCTGCTACAGCGCAGATCATGTTACTGAAGGACATTAGTCATGGTGTGAAGATGTTGACGGTCCACGCACTCGTTCAAGATGTACAGCTTCTCGGCCGATGTGTCTTGTTCCAACAACTTGCTGGTGACCTTCCTCTCTGCGGCGAGCACGATGCCATCCTGGGCCAAGATGCCTAGCGCGGTTCCGGCGTGCGAGATGGCTTCGAGGGCATATTCGACTTGGTAGAGGCGACCTTCGGGGGAGAAGATGGTCGTCTACGCACTGTTAGCAGTGTCCTGGCCGTGGTTGCGGGTATATCGTACCCTGGAGTCGTATCTCCGTGACATGATGGCGGTCTACTCTGGCGGTCTGGGTGGTATTGGGGGTGTAGACAGCAGTGGGCGAGGGAGAAGGCGGCGGGGAAGTCGGGGCGTGGGCTGGTGTTGATGGAAGCTCCAGGCACAAGCTCCTACGCAGCGCGTCGGCGATTCAGGCTGCTTGGCGCCGACCACTTTTTGGAGCGCGCGCTGCAACACCAACTTTCCCATCCCCAAGTCTTTTCGCAAGACTTGAATAGCTTCAATTCCTAGATGCAACACGACACACCCATGTCGGATATACCAGTGCGACCGCCTGCACCAGCTGCACCGCTTCCTCCAGGCTGGACAGAGCACAAGGCGCCCTCAGGTAGCTATAGCTCCTACTTGCGTCATATGCCTCCGCTAACATTACAGGCCACTCGTACTACTACAATGCCGAATTAAATAAGTCGACGTATACGCGACCCGTTGCAGAGATCCCGCAATACCATAATCCAACGCCGCCACCTGCACCCGCACCCTACCACGCGCCTTCGAATTACGGCCTTGGCCACGATAGTCAGACAGCGCAAACTGCCTCTCATCCTCAGCCTTCAATCAACGACTTCATCTTCGCGAGCGCGCCGAAGCAATTCCCCAAACATGGCGGGGCGCATCAACAAGCAAGAGGTGGGCATCGTGAAGGGATGCGCGGAGGGCAGAACAGCTTCAACGACCGAAGAAGAGACCGCGATGATCGGCCAAAGCATCGCCAGGACATACCAAACTGCGCGCCTTGGGTTCTGGTCAAGACAAAGTTCGGACGACGTTTTGTGTGGAACAAGGATACGAATGAAAGTTTCTGGAAGTTCCCGCCAAACGTCATGACTGCCGTCGTCGAGTTCGACAGGAAGGAGCGCGAAAGGAAGGAACGCAGGGAACGGGGCGAGCCAAGCGACGTGGAAGAGGAGAACGATGCTATGGCTGAGATTGAGGCGGAGCTTGCAGAAGCGGAAGAGGAGGTGGAAATAGTCGAAGTGGACGGTGAGGAGGGTATGGAGAACGATGAGGAGTATGAAGAGGTGGAAGTCACGGACGATGAGGGCGAGGCGTCAGGGCATGCACAGAAACGACAGCGCACCGAAGAGCCATCTGGAGACCCACAACCCGAGGAAGATGACGATCTTGCATGGCAACTGGCACAAATGGAGGAGATGGAGATGGACCAGGGCTACGACGATCAATTCGACGAGGAGGAGCCTGCTTTGTCCGAAGAAGACTGCAAAGCGCTGTTCAAGGAGCTCCTCGAAGACACGAAAGTCAGCCCATTCGCACCCTGGGACAAGATTATAGAGGACGGTGTGTTATTTGACGACGACCGATACAAGGCTCTACCGAACATGGCAGCGCGTAAAGAATGCTTCAACGAATGGTCGCGTGACAAAGCCCAGTTTCTCAAGGAAGAGAAAGCCCGGCAAGCGAAACGAGACCCACGGATACCGTACTTGGCCTTCCTCGACAAATATGCAACACCGAAGCTCTACTGGCCAGAGTTTCGCCGGAAATACAAGAAAGAATCTGAGCTCAAGGATACCAAGCTCCCAGACAAAGACAAGGAGAAATTATACCGCGACCACATCAAGCGTCTGGCCATGCGATCATCCGACCTGAAATCCGATCTGTCTGCACTCTTACGTGCTCAGCCTCTCGCTCTGCTCAACCGCTCCACAACCATCGATACCCTACCCTCCGCCGTACTAAGCGATCTCTGCTACATATCCCTCCCACCATCAACGCGCGAAGGCCTCATCAACACATACATCTCCACGCTGCCACCCGCACCTGAAGGCGTCGTCTACTCCGCCGAAGAAGAAGCAGAACGCGCGAAGAAGTGGGCCGAGCGCGAACGGCGCGAGAAAGCGCTTGCAGACCGTGAGAGGCGTGTTCGTGAGGAGAAGAGAAAGCAAGAGCGCGATCTAGCCTATGGGAAAGGCAGGTTACGCGAGGAAGAAGCGGAGATTGAGCGAGCGATGAATGTAGGGAAGGAGGGCTTGAAGAGTTATCTGAAAGAGTAGATACCCATGCACGTAATACATACGCTGAGATCCAACTTACATTGATGTTATTCAGATAAGACTTGCCTATCGGGGTTTCTCATAGCTTGGTTCTGCAGTACTGTACCACTGGTACGCCTTATAATCCCCCTCTTCATCATACGTCCCTGTAAGTCTCATCCCCACATGCTCACCCACGCCCACGCACATCGCCCAGCGCCTATAAATAACCCCCACCTCTCCTCCCCTTCTCTTCTCTTCCCCAGCTACTCTTCCCATCACCCCAGACCCAACATACAACTCGTAAGAGATGTATGCAACTGATAATCGGACTCTTCCTAGCCCTTGTCCCTCCTACAAGAGTAGTCCCGGAAAGCGTTCAATGCGACATAACCCCTACTGGTGGTTTAGTCGTCTTCAATACTTGACGGGATATGAAAGAATCTGGTGGAGCACGCTTCTGTCGAGGTTACTTCATCAGATTCTTCGGTCTGGGCGTGAGCGAGGCGGTGATGAAAAGGACAATGAACAAATCATCCTGATCAGTTACTGATTCAGAGTAGGTAACGGTTGTTCTATGTATATTTCTGAGCCTCAGGTTGGAGTTAGGGGTGATGTCGGTGCTGGTGGTGGCACGATGGTTGTTTGATCGTTAGTATGTTTGTAGTTCAATGGAAGACTTGCAAAATTGTCCGAGAAAGTTATTTGGATGTTCGCTTTTGAGTTTCAAGATACACTATCACTCAGTACTTTCGCTTTTCTATGAGAGCGTGTCACTTGGGACTGGCGACGTTAATCCCGTCATTCTATTCATCAGAAATGTCGGTCTTGGTGTCGGGGCTGAGTGGAGTGAGTGGGGACGGCAGAGATCGGGTGAGATGAGATGAGACGAGATGCAGGTGGGACCTGAGTGGAGGTTGCATGTATCCACGGCGATACTTTGTCTTGGCCTAAGCTCGTGTTTACGACATGTATCTCGCTTTCGTGAGTTAGTCTTAGTGTTCTCGTTCTCGCGTTCTACGGCATCACTGCTTACCGCGATGGGAAGGTTATCTTGAATCCTATCGATCACAGCCTCTCGTTCTGTTTCTCATTCTCATTCGGAGTCACAGTTCCAATCAAAGTTCTCGCTTTCGGATCGTTCCCACGTCTCCACCGTCCTCATACCCAAACCTTCCTTGGCGATATCAACCCAACATCCAAGATCGCTCGATCGCCGGAGGGGACAATAACTCTCTATCACTAATCTCGTCTTCCCAATTGCCCAACTCTAGTAATTTCACGCTCACCCATCGATTCCGGCATCGGATTCGCATCCTTCGCCGTGGGATAACCCCTGTATTCACCGACACGTTACCTCCAAGAAAAATAAGTAATCATCCGAAATCCCACGCCATAGCCTCATTCTCCATACCTTAACCTACTGTGCCTACCCTCTAAACCTCCCCAAATAAGTAATCCATCGATCACAGCACCGCATTCGCATTCCCTTCCGCCAAAAACCCTATCTTCGTATCCGGAGTCGAGATAAAGGAAGGAGTAGCGTACCAGTGCGTTGGTTTGTTCGCGAGTCTCGTGTGGTAGGAGCGGGTATCTTACAAGGAACCGTGCCCAGGCTCGCTTTCGCTTTGGCTCCCGATTACTGATTACATGAGGACTACGCTAAGGGAAGGTGCCGCGCAACATCGGTGTGTGCGGTTGTTCGCGGTCGGTGGTTTTGCTTTAGCTGCGTTGTTTCTTGTGCGAAATGACTGCATGCGGTAGTTTTTGGAAGAGTGTTGATGATAGTCTCGCGTTCGCGTTGGGGGGTTCTGCTCGAGCAGTGCGTATGAGGGTGCTAGTGGGTGTAGTGTAGGTTGGAATAACGGCTCATGACGATGACGCGAGGGCCTTGAATCTCGGTCTCGTTCTTATTCTCTTTCTCATTCTGTTTCTGTCATGTGCTGGGAGTCTAACTCGGTTCATCGTATTGCTCTCGACCCTTGCGCAGATGATGAGGCCTTCCCTAGACATCTCCAAGAAGATGGAGACGTGGAGACGTGGATACGTGGATACTTGGATCCGCAGGCACTCGAGCTGAGCGCTCCAGAGTCGAGCGGCGTCGAAGGAGTCTAGATGCAATATTGATCTTCCGCTATTCGCGTCTTGATCCGCTTCCCTGCATGCGAAGTGCAAAGTACGATGCGTAAACTGTATGGTGCTGCGTTGGCATCGCACATGTCAACATACGCCTGCCGGTCACTCTCCCGTGCGTGGGACACCGGCGAGACGCTTGCGAGCCAATCGCAATTCTGGCGCTAGAACGGCTGTCCCCGTTAGGCAACTACTCAGAGACCATCGATCGCGGCAGAAAGGGCACTGCGGGGCTCCCAGCCCTGTGGAACCAATTGCAACGTCGCCGGCAGGGATAGGCACCGCATGCGGTAATTCGCGCGAGCGGTCGTAGATCACGGCAGTCTTGGCAGATAGGGCAGTGTGGAGCCGCTACTGGCCCTATAGGGCCAATCGCAAGTGCGAGGCAGGGCTGGCGACCCCGTTGGGAAGGTTTGCAAAAACTGTCGATTCCACCCACAGGAAGGGCACTGGCCCTGTGGAGCCAATGGCGGCCGCCAGACAGGGCTGGGTTACTCGGATAGGTATGTTTGTGAGGGAGCTGTTGATCGCGGTGGCCGCGAGTGAAGTAAGGGCCACGAGGTGACGACCCGAGACCTCGGGTCTAGGTTGCCTCTCGTTTGTACTTCTTCTGTGAACCTTGGAAGTATTGGTCTCACCGTGCAATGTTCTGAACCAGCGAGCTGCAGTCGAAAAGATACTTCATGTAGAAAGTTCACGGTTGGCCATCGATTGCAGACAGATGCCCGCACCAAGTTCTTTATGCACTGCATCACTTCCGGTCTTCCGTACCTCCCTGTTCCTCCTTGTCCGCTTCAGAACTTCGAGCTGCAGCTGCGAAGATACCTCATCTGGAAAGTTTATGACTTGCCATTGATTACAGCGTGACACTATGCATGTCCAGGTCGGCGTGCTTGCATGAGTACGACAAGTCTTCTCAACTGCTGTGCCCTCCTAGTACCACCTTGCCCGCTCCAGACCAGCAAGCCGCAGATGAGAAACTACTGTATCTAGTAAGTTCTCAGTTGACTGTTGATTCCCAGGGTGTGACACCGCGTTTTCCCCCTCTGTTTATGCTCCTCCCTCAACACATCCAACATACCGTTTCGAGCAACATCGTAGCCGCGTGTCGATGCCTGCGTTCCACACCTGGGCACCACCTGGGCACGGAACATCGCAGGATGTCACTAACACGACATGTGCAATTGTCACTACCCCGCCAATTCTACTCAACACAGCAATTTCCAAATGAAGTGTTGATCGTAGGTCCTGCAGTTCGTCCACGTCAATTGTCACGCAACAGTTACACAGCGTCTGTCCTTCCCGCCCCTACCCCGCCAATTCTACTACATTCAGTAACTTCCAAGTAAACTGTTGATCGTAGGTCCTCCTGCGAGCCATGCACAGCCGGCATATTCAGGCATCAATCTAACTACCTAGTCAAAGCAACAGTCACACAGCATACATGCGCGCACCTCCGTTGCACCACACGTTACACCCCGTGCCAACACACTCAATATACCGGAAGCAGTAAGTTGAGGCAAAGGTATGGATCTATGGATGTGGCATGGACACAACCCGCATATGCGCCATTCCGGTGCCAAGAAGCTCAACGCACTGTATCGAGTAGGTTGAGGGAAGAGTGTAGATTGCAGTTGCATATAAAGACATCGGGGATGCGGAAATGCACCTTATCCACCCTTCTGCATGCCGCGTCATGGTCACGAAGAGGGGTGATTTGCGCATTCCTGTGTACCCAGGTAGGTATGCATAATACCTGTGTGTGTGGGAGTCTGCCTGCAGATATGCCGGTGAACGGGGCAAGGACTAAGGTTCGTCACCGATGAGAGAAAGTTGGACAAGGGTAGACGAAGGAGGGGTTGTTGCATTACTAGATATAGTAAGAAAAGTCGAAAAGGCCAGAAAACCGTGGATTACAGCGAACTGTCAATCTCGCTTACCGCATGGCCTCAAGAGATCACCTGGGGAGAAAAGGCTTAGCTGGAGGCCTGACACTGCATAGCATGCACTACCACCATCAGCTAGCCAGGTTACACAAAGCAGTGGGAGGAGCCATCATTATGAACGAAACAGTATGTGTATTTTGGAACAGAAAGAAGCAATGAGCGTACACGTAAGCAATGAGGTAAATGGATGGCAGAAACCGTCTCTGCCTCAGCATGGGACAAACAGGGTACACCACATGTGGGTATCAAATACAAGAGAAAGAGAGCGCCGCCCACACTTCCGCATCCCGGCCTCGCCCTGCCTTGCTACAAGAAACCCTGTACATCCATCCAAGCGCCTCAAAACACCGAACCTAAAAAACCCCGCTCCTCTTCTCGAATTCAGCGCTTTTGAATGCGCAAAGAGGCCAGCGCACCTGAGACCCTTACCTACGGGGCTCCAGATGGCTGTGCCTGCTGTTGGCCATTCGACTCGGTCTTTGAGCGGAGGTGGTTCGTAAGCACTGTGATGTTGTCGCGTGCTTCCGGTACCGTTTCGACGATATGCCTCAGGTTGATCATCTGCAGTTCCGAGACTACAGAGTTTTGGGACAAACTAGATCCCAAGATCGTAACAATGACTGGCGCATCGATGTATGGACCGAGAATCTCAAGTGCCTTGGGGATCTGGTGATGCGGCGGGCCGTTGACGGGTGGCGTGGGTTGTTGGACCGGGACCATGTTTGCAGGCGGTGCGGCGAACGGGTTGCCGTACTGGCCGCCTGGTGGGTAGGCAGCACTGACAGGCGAGAACTGAGGTGCGTGAGGGTTGCTAAGCGGCGATGGGCCGTTGTTGAGAACAGGCGGGGCGACTTGACCAGTTGCAATCTCTTGTTCTGGGTATCGCTCGAAGTGTTGGGTAGGTGGAAGCTGAGGCTTGATCTCGGGAAGCTTAGCGACCATGGCTAGGATCAACATATGTTCCTTGCGAGGGGTCTCGATTGTGCAGTACTCGAGCATGTCGATGAAAGGAGGGAGGTTGCTGCCGCCCTCCTCAATAGGAATGACGTAGAGGTCGCGCAGGATGTCGTTATCTTCGACAGGTACTACTCCCCATCTGCCGCGTGAGTGGAAGTACTCATACAGATGGTCCATGATGGTGCGTCCATCCGTTGTAACAGGACTGACGGCCAGGATGGAAACTTCATGGCTTTCGGTGTGGCCAATGTTCTGGATGTAGTCGTTTCCTTTTGCGCTTTCGATGCGCCCTTGGATCGCCACGGTGTTGGTCAGCAGCTTCTCCCAGGGCACGATCTGACCGAAGTCACCACCAGCGACGAATCGAGCGACCGCATCGAAAGGCTCCATTGACTGCATGTTGATGGAGCCCTGCCAGCAAACAGTCGGGTCCGAGGAGTATCCTGACATCTCAACATCATTGTCTTCGTCTTTGAGCAAACGGTCGACGTCGGCGTCATCAACTGCAGCCGGAGGCTTGTCTTGCATGTGCATTGAGCTTTGGCGACGCTGGAGGAAGGCCTGCTGATCATGCTGTGGCGATCGAACTTTGTCAAAGACGGAGTTGATGTCGAAGTTGGCCGATGCTCGTCGTGCGTGCTCAGACTGGGCGGTGTCAATCTCTGTAGGTCTTCGTGATGCACCAGCGGGACTCTCCGGAGGGCGTGTTCCGGATGGTGACTGCATCGCAGTGTCCTCGGTGATGCTCTCTCGTTCGCGGAGTGTGGGCTGCTTAAAGTCGTCATGGTCGTTCTCGAAGTTGTCTTCGCCGACAATCTCCTCGCCCTTGTGTGTCTTGCGTAGTCGCGGCCCGGCCTCCTCGGTTAAGATCATCTGCTTCTCGGCCGCTTCGCGCATGGCTGCGTATTCACGTTGCTTGTCCTCGCTCGCCATCTCTTCAGCCTCCATACTGACTAGATCATCAGCTTTCAAGCTCCCAGACAGGAGGCGATCCACAAGCACCGTGTTCTTCTTGACATTGAACATGATGGTACGAATCTTGGTGAAGTATGGCGAAGACGAGCCAGTAGGTTCTCCGTAGAGATTGAAAGCGGCATGGCTCATTTCGAGAGTGTACTTGGTGGCCAGAGATTTGGCAGTCTGCCCATCCGGTATGCGGAAACCCCTGGTCTCCGAGGCGGTGCTGATCAACGGTGCGAGTGTGTCCCGAAGCTTCTCCGCCACAGCCTTTTGGTTTTGCGGGAGCGAGTCGATGTCGCCGACTGGGGCTGACTGGGGGGTAGGCTTGCTCTCGTGGTGGCTGGACTTTCTGCGCTTCTTGCTCGCGTTGGCCTTTTCAGTGGCAGGCTCATGGCGACGCTTCTCACCAAGTGGCGATTGTGGCTGACTCGTCTCCTGCTTACAAGTGTGAGCGTGCGACAGTTTGTTTAGTGTGCAACAACATACCTTTGGCTCTGCATGTCCGTTGGAGGCCTCTGGTGTAGGCACAGTGACGGGAGCAGGCGTGGGCGTGGGAGCCTCAGCCGGGACCTGAGCGGTTTGTGAGGGCGTGGCCGACTGCTGAGGCGTGCTGGCCTTCTCAGAGACGGCCTCCTGCTTGACGTCGCTGGGGCGGGGCTTGGGCTTGGAGCCCTTCTTGCGCGCCCACGGTCTCTCTCCACGCGCCATGGCAGCGAGCAGCTCGGTGTGGTCTTCGGGCTTGCATTGCTCGCAATAGTAGTTCTTGCCCTCCCAGAAGTCGCCCTCGGGGAGGCCCAGGCACTTGTTGTGTTGCCAGGCCTCGCAGCTGTCGCAGCAGATCATCTGGCGTCCACGGATGTCGCGCTGGTCGCCGCAGACACAGCGGATGATGGCATCCTCCTCTTCCTCATCTTGCTGAGAGGACTGCGTCGACTGCGCTCGCTGTGACTGTGCCTTTGCTTGTCCCTTCTTGGTTTGCGCCTGTCCCTTCTTCTCCGGAACTGGTGGCGCCTTGGCCTTGGGAGCGGGGGAGGGCTCGTCGAGGGAATCTGCGTTCTTGGTGTGGTGGCCTTTGTTGGCGCGGCCGGAGCGGCGGATCTCGTCTGCAGTGGCAATATCAGCATCAGTGTGAGGGTTGGGGATGGGCGTGCGCGTGGTGGTGCGGGTGCCATGAGGGGCGCGACTCAGTGGCTTGATGCGACGGACGCGCGTAGATGGTGTCTGCTTACCGGCCATGGTGTCGGACACGGGTGATGGGCTCAATATAGACGATACCACGAGTGCAGCTTATGCTATTGCGGAACAAGATTCAAAAAGTCTCTACGGAAGCCCCAATCCTGCCTTACGCGCGTCGCACTGCGGACAGACGGACACCAAGTATGGAGCCGCCTCTAACTAGTAAACGAGCGCGAGCGAGCGCTCCTGCCCAACTGCACAGACAGAAGGCGCGATGCGTTGTGCGACTGCCGGTTATGAGTCGCAACTGCCTCTTGCGCGTACCTGCCGAATGCGGAGCCGGTGCCGCGCGGTGTGTGGGCGCAAAAGAGATGTCAGCCGCGAGGGATGGGAGCTCAATGCATGCGCTGGGTGGTGGGCGCACTAGAAGACAGCAGTGGGCGGGTGCGGGTTGCCAGAGGGAGTCGCAATGTGTCGTGTGGTGTCGGACTGAGTGGTGTCAGTGAGGAGGTGGAGCTTTGACACAGCGTTTTGCCGACGCCTTGGCTGCCGTAATCCTGGCCACTAGCGAGCTGTGGACCCTTTGCGCGGCTGGCGTCAGAGCTACTGGAGCAGCGCCAGCCAGTCTCAACAAGAACAAGAACACTGGTGGCATCGCACACTATAGGCACATACACGACGACCCATATTTCCATAAGAGCAAGAACCACCTGCATCATCATGGCCGACGCACGAGCTCTTTTGCGACAACAGCGCGCAGCACGGCAGCAGGCGCAAAAGCCCCAAAAGCAATCGGCAGCTCCTGCGACGGCACCCGCGTCGAAAAAGCGCAAGGCTACAGATGAGACCGTCGAGGAGAGGAAACGCACGCGAACAGAGGAAGAGGCTGGTGTACCAGCGGGCTTCTTCGATGCTGGAGCTGCAAAGGATGGAGAGGAAGCCGCGCCGGCAGCAGACCAGAAAAGCGCGCCAACACCAGATACCCAGCCTCCAGAGGCACCCAAGGCGCCAGAGCCCCAACTCGATCCCACAGCCCAAGCAGAGCTCGATGCCTTCTTGAACGAGATGAACGCCGAAAAGCCCATGCCACCACCACCTACTCGATCCGCCTACTCGGGCGCTGTCATCGAGGCCGCGCCCATGACAGCCGCCCAGATCGCCGCACAAGCACGAGAAGACCAGAGTGCACAACGCGCAAGGAGGGACGAGGAGATGGAGGGCGAGAAAGAGGATGCTGCGCGGGCGCTTGAAGACGAATTCGAGGAGATGGAAGGCCTTGAAGAGAGGGTGAAGCGGTTACGGGAACAGAGGGAAGCATTGCGATCCAAGTCTGGAGCACCAGTCGAGGCAGAGAGCGTTGCGCCCGCGCCTCAAGCCGTCGAAGAAGATGGCGAGAGCGAGTCCGACGACGAAGACTGGGACGACTGGAGGTTCCGTCCTGCTTGATTTCTATAACTGCATTGCATATAACAGGCTTTCTGGTGGTCAGCGCATGTACTATATTGTAGCATTACACCATTGTGATACCCGGGGAGGCGTTCCCAAGCAGCGATGCGTTCAGTCCAAGCAGGGTTGTCCTTGTCATACAAACACGACATCACATAGAGACAATTATCTATCTTGCTTTTCCAACACTTCGAACGACTTGCAGCCCAAAGCAAACCCCTGACATGTGAGATGGCGGTATCGAGTGCCAAGGCGAGCGTCATTGGTGAGAAACCAAACGCTTCAGGCACGAATGAGACAACCTAACCCCACTCACCCACTTCCACCCTCGACTGACACGTGCCCTCGCGAGTTATTACTGCTCTCTCTTGGACACACGCGTTGAAATACGACTCGGCACCCCCAACACGAACTCCGCACACGGCATCCTACCCCACAATGTCGCGACGGCCCAACCCTGCCGCTGATCGGGCGGAACAGAATCGCGCCACGCTCAAGAACTTGGTGAAGCTCGAGGGCAACAAGACATGCTCCGACTGCAAGAGGAACAAGCGTGAGTTATGCAGAATCTAAGTACAATGCGCCTTTACTGACAGCTACTGCAGACCCGCGATGGGCCAGCTGGAACTTGGGCGTCTTCATCTGCATTCGGTGCTCGGGCATCCACCGTGGCATGGGAACACATATCAGCAAAGTCAAGTCAGTCGACCTCGATACCTGGACCGACGAGCAACTCCAGAGCGTGCTGAAATGGGGCAATGCGCGAGCCAACAAGTACTGGGAGTCGAAGCTGGCGCCTGGCCATGTGCCGTCCGAGGCAAAGATTGAGAACTTCATTCGCACAAAGTACGAGTCGAAGCGATGGGTCATGGAAGGTCCTATGCCCGATCCCTCGACTTTGGAGGCGGACGATGACGATATCGTAAGTGGGCCAGGATAGCTGCATGGGATAGCAACTAATAAAGTATAGCCATTGAAGAAGGTTCAGGAGAAGGTCCAAATAGAACGCTCCGCATCGCAACGCCTAGCTCAGAGCTCCAGCCAGCCTCCCCCTCCCCCGCGACAAGCACAGCCGCCGCCAACCATCGACCTTTTCGGCGACGACCCCGTTCCTCAGCGACCGAGCACCGGACCCCCGATTGCAGCCAGAGGGCCTCCCAAGGCAGAGGCAGCCCCACCGAAACAGAACAAGGCAGGCGATTCATTGTTAGGATTGGACTTCCTCGGCGGTTCGTCTTCTGCGGCACCCTCTCGTCCATCTAGCACAGGCCCTGCTGCAGCGGCGCCATCGAGACCAGATCTCAAGCAGTCCATCTTATCGCTATACGCTTCCAAGCCTGTCGCACCACCCCAGCCCCAGCAGCATGCACGTCAAGACTCATTCGGCGGACTGGCGTCGCCCCAAGGACAGCAATCGCCCCAACAGTCGGCCTTTGGTGGCATGAACGATGCCTTTAGCAGTCTGTCTTTCAACCCTGCCCCAGCAGCTAAACCCTCACCTTTCTCCGGCCTCGATAGCTTCTCTAGCGCCAAGTCACCGCCTTCAACATCTTCCTCCAACATGTTTGGTGGTGGCGGCAACTTCTTTGATTCCAAGCCTGCTCCCCAGACCCAATCGCAAAGCCGCACAATGAGTCCGTCGGGTGGAATGGCTGACTTCAGCGCTTTCTCTTCTCCCGCCCCATCCAAGCCCGCAGCTCCTGCAGCAAGCGGCATGAACGATCTTCTGGACCTGTCTATGCCCTCTGCACCGGCACCTGCACCAAGGGTCACTTCCCCACCACTCTCATCGCCACAAACGAGCTCAGCATTCAATCTATCTTCACCAGCACCAGCACCCGCTCCCAAGGCTGCCCCTGCCCCTGCGACCGTAAACTACTCAGGATTCTCTAACATGGACGCCTGGGGTAGCAACGACGTCTGGGGGTCTTCTGCCCCGAGCCAACCCGCGGCTCCATCGACAACATCGCACGCTCAGCCTACCACCCCCGGCTGGGGCGCACCACAGGTAACTCAAGACGACGATTTCGGCGGCTGGAGCAGTGCCGCGCCTACCACGACCACGCAGACGACTACCACAACTCACACTACGACTACTCAAAGTAAGCCTGCAGGAGGATTCGGTGGTGGTAGCGATGATCTCTTCTCGAATGTTTGGGAATAGAAGTGGTGTGTTGGAACGGTGTTTGCATGCTACACGTACTTTAATCCGTATCCTTCAGAGCGTGAAACAAGATGCGGCTCTGGATGGAGCGTAATGTACATAGTATGATGTTTATAGACCGCTGAATCGAAACCTCAATTGACACGCCCCTAAAACGCCAGATATGCATACGGCGCCTGCCGTTTCCGCCCGTAACACATCGTTTCTGTCTACCCTCCCCATGAACTTCGCCGGCATTCTCATTGTAGTCGCCTGCGCTCCTAACCTCGTGTCTTCTACCGTCTTCCCTCGATGTCGCACTGCGACCATCCTGGATCATGTTTCTGTATCAACTTCCATCTTCATGCAATCCAGATTTTCTCAAAAGATCAAATGCCATATCCAGTACAACACCACTACAGTCCCTATTATGATCCCTGCCAACTTCAAGATCGCGACCTTGTTCCCCGATGAAGCCATGCGTGTGAGGCGTGTGGCGGAGCCTTTGAGTGATGTGCCGAAGGAGGAGAAGGTGTCGCTCTATAGAATGAGATGTTAGCCGTGTTCTCGTATACGTATCGGGGGAACGTACCGTGCTATCAATGACATGTTGGTCGCGCGCATTATCGTAGATGTCTATCGTTACGCCCCGCAGCGCAGACACTTTGGAGGCGAGTTCATCGAGGCGGGAATTGTTTTGCTGTTCGCGCTCGTAGGCTTGCGACATTGTTGCGGGCTGTTCGGGGCGCCCGGTCTTCGTTCCTGTCGAGAAGGCTGTGTGCCGGGGTATGTACGGTCGCGTAGGCGTAGAGTGACTACAGCTTAGTGTTTTGGCTTGCTGTCGTGCTGAGAGTGTCTTCGAGGCGGTTTCGGGATCGTCTGGCAGCCTTCATACGCGACTGGCCATGGGTGACGTTCGGGCGCCAAGGGACCCTGAGGGAATGGGGCTAGCGTCAAAGGGCGGGTTCACGCGTGCGCGGGTCTGGGGAAGCTGCGCTCCGCCCATTCTGCAACTACTATGTAATCACCATCTTGTTGTCATTTTTATTTCGTCTCGCTCGATCGCACAGCTTTGCAGATGTATCAGGCTGTACAGATGCCCTCCCACCTGGTAAATCATCATGCAGGCGCCTAAAGGCAGCAACAGCAAAGTACTTCAACACCCCTTGCGCAGCACCCATCGACATCGGAGAACAGCGTACCTAGGTACTGTCATGTAGCACTACATCCAACGACAAAGCAACTGAAGATCAACATTCTGGAAGATACGGCTAAATCCAGCTTCCGCCTCTGATTCGCGCGTCCCTGCACGCCGCAGTCTCCAAGCTTGAGAGATGCACACACGACAGCCCAGTAGAGGCTGCGATTCTGCATGGCTTTCAACTCGAAACACTGCGGGGTCACTCACTCGCTGCAGTGTTCTGAAAATATGTGCCATGCATCTACTGCGCCGCAAAACGCAGCATCGCTT